TGTCTGCCTATAAATGATCCCAAATTAAGGGACTATGTGACAACCCAGTCAGGACCCCTCTGAAGTTCGGGTAGATTTCTCTTCCTTATTTCCAATTAAATGTTCTTAACCTCTTCCTTTTCTTCCCAAAATCATTCTTCAGGAGCAAGACTATGTTGGCTCTTGTTATTTTGATTTTACATGTTTCCTGTGAAAGTTTATAAGTACTATCTGTTACACAGGTATTCATGATTCTACAAGAATTCTACAAGATTCTACAAGAATTCTAATAAACCACCCAAGCAGTATGTGTAGGCCACCACCTACTTTGTATTTTAAAGTGTCCTGAGGTCCAAAAAGGTTATAGTAATTTAGATTAAGACCTGCTGCCCCTGCTTCAAGACTGGTATAACTGACCTTCTGGATTTTTCTGTTGTAGAATTCAAGAAACCAGAGACACAAGGGAAACAGGAGGATTTGATGTGTTTTAAGGGTACACTGACTCAGCTAGAGGTTGATCCAGGAGGTTGGTTGTGTTCCAGCAGGTTGATCACTGAACAAAGCAAAAAGCTCCCATTCTGTACATTTGCTGTCGCAAAACTGGAAGGGGATGCAAGCAAGGTTACAGAAGATGACAAAAGCAGTCCTTTCCTCAGCGGTATTTTAACAATTTAGCCTTGAAAGAAGACAAATTGTAGAGGTCACAAGACTCTGTGTAGAGCACAGTTGTCAACCTTATCAGCACTAGAGCACAGGTCAGCCTCCAAGGGAACAGATTCCTGAGGAATCAGGTCATCACAGGACTCTGCCTACGGAATATAACTGCTAATTTATCTGTAACAGAGAAATGGTCAGCAGTTATGGGGAGTGGATGAATGGGAATGCTCAGGCTGCGAGGAGACAAAAATTTGCTTTTCTCCAAGTCTTGCTTTAATTCAACGACCAAGCCTTAGACACCACGGCTTAAAAAATGAGTAAGAAGACAGCTGACAGCTTTAGCCCTGTACTCCAAGGTCGGCCGGTATATAGGATATGAGAGGACGCCTCTGCAAAGGCTCCGCAAACCCAGTGAGTCGCCCACCTCCTGAGCAGGGAGGAGATTGTTAGACCCCACAAGACAGAAGTCAACCAATGTACAGTCCACAAAAAGGAGGGTGACTGATGAGGGAATGCTTTCCTGTGCTTCCAGGGTAAGCCATGTAGGCAAGCATATGCGATTCATTCTGGTAAATAACACCCTGGTAGGGAAAAAATGAGAGGAGTAAGAGACACCTCACACAGCCCGAAAGGAACCCCTGAAGAGCTCGAATGGACATTCACACACAGGCACATATACACACAATAGAGATAGATAGATAGATAGATAGATAGATAGATAGATAGATAGATATTTTGAATATTACAGATCTTAGTTTGACTTGGTCTTAAACACCAAGAAAGTATAACTGAGGCAAGAAGATGGGGTATGTCTAATACCAGTTGGGAAAGGAGGTGTGGCGAAATCTCTGGATGCACGCACAGTGCATTCCCAAAGCCCTGCAAGCGGGCTTCTCCTGAGGACTTGAGCAGAGTTTTGATAGGCTAAACAAGATGTAACACCCCTGTGGGAAGCATACAAAGGGACCATTGCCACTCGGCATTTGCTTTTATAGTGTGCGCTATTGGGCCTCTTCACGGTAGCCTGGCTACACCAAAGTGTATTTTGGTTTGCTCCTTTTTCCTACTTTTACTTGGCCTAAACTTGTGCTGCTGAGCCTGTTTTGTTTATTTGTTTTGGTTTTTTTAAACCAAAGATCACCTCTGAAAGGAGATTCCAGCACCTTAAAGCTTGGTAATATACCCCAAAAGTAAAATAGTTAATAGTAATACAGAGCTAGACTAGATAAACAGGGTCTTCAGACAACACATCAGCTGTTAAAAATACCCAACCACATCTGTAACATTTGAACCAGCAGCCACAAAAAGTCTAAACTCTCAGCCCACTATCCTTTCCAAACTATGTCCTGCAGTCTGCCTTAATGTATTGTCGTTATGTTATTTTGATGTATGTTAAAATATCCATTGGGTAAAAATTTAGCTTTTCTTTGACATAGGTCTGCTTCTAAGATAAAAATGCCACTAGGTATGGTGGTAAACACCTATAATCCCAGCACTTGGGTGGCTGAGTTAGAGATAAATACTATAGGCAGTCAGACAGGGCTGGGCCCTCAAAGGAATCAGTGCAGAAGACCAGATATCTTGCAATATTAGAGGAGACAGACACCTCTGCTGTGGACCAGATCTCAAGACAAAAGGCAAGACAGATGCAATCACACCCTAAGTATAAGCATCAGGGATTGACATTCTAAATAGGTATCAATCACCTTGAGGAAGCCAGAAGGAGCCATTAACCCAATTCCTTACCAGCAAAGACCCTATTCTCTATTCATGCCTGCTTGCTACATGATTAACCTCTATATTTGATCCTGATGTAATTAATCTTAAGTGAGCAATTACACTCTTAATCTTATCAGTTGAGCATAGTTCTGTCCTATATCATGCCCTCCTCCCCTGAAAGTTCCCATTTTCCCCCACTTTGGACACACCTCACCTTGTGATTTTGCTTTATCAAAGTCCCTAGAAAAGACAGAATCTCTGGCAACCCACTTGGGGCCCCTTCTGTCTCTCTCTTGGACACAGGCTTTCTTTCTCTCAATAAATACATCCTGCTCTTAACCTCCATTGTTCCTAAAATTCAAATTTCAATTTTAGAGAATATGAACTCATACTGGACATCTAGTAGGTTGGGAGTTTCTTTCCCCTATATCAGCAGGAGAATTGCCATGAGTTTAAGGCTAGTCTGAGCTGTATAGTGAGTTTAAAACCAGATGAGTTACAGAACAAGATCCTGTCTCATAAAGAAAAAATAGCAATAGAGTCTACCTACTAGATATTAGTGCTTTTATCATGGAAACTCTGTTATGTACTTCAGGTTTTGTATGTTTGTTATCTGTTAGAGTTTTCTGGTGCAACAGAGATGCAAAAAGTAAAAAAAATAAATAATAAAGGAAAGCATGGGTTTATTGAGGACATGGAAAAGATCACACAACACATGGCAGTTGGGCTGTCTCCTTTGACCAGATGCTTATATGACCTCTGATCAGAAATGGTGCATGGGGCGGGCATTGATAATGTGTCAGGAACTGATTGGAATTTTCTTTGCACGCAAACAGGAAAGGCAGTTACAATTGGGCTGAAGAAGGAGGAAGTGATAAGCATTTCTGCTTTGGATTTCTGCCATGTTAGACCACCACCATAACTGTACAGTCATTTATACTAGGGCAAGAACCTTTCATATCTAGTGCCAGTCTCACAAGAATTTTAAATCTACAAAGCATATGCCAGTCCCAGGAATAAGTTTTAATGGTGCACTGTTCATGTAAAATATAAATAGATATTTAATTTTTTCTTACTCATTGTTATAGTAAAATAAAAATGAGATTTCTTATTAACAAAATATGGAGAAATCTATATACTTTTAATTTCTACCTGTTATATTTGAGTAAATACTTCCAGGAAGAGAGCAGTTAATATAAGAAACCCTCACCATTATTTTACTTTTAAATTTGACTCTTTATGTTTAACATGTATTTCTATCTTCCAGACTTCACCAACTGCTAGTCAAGCTAATGATCACCTGTGCTATTGTTAAAACAAAATGCTGTGAATACATTCCAGATAACTCAGATAATGTTTCTTCATCCCACAATGATTTACCAAAAAGTCCAAGAGTTTTGTTTGTTTGTTTTTGTTTTTTGTAGTACTGGGGATTGAATTCACGACCTTGTGCTTGCCAGGCAGGTGCTTATGCAGCTGAGCTAAATCCCCAACCCTTGTCCAATAGTTTTCAATAATTCATGTCTAATTGCTACTTGGACTTGCTGTGTCTTAGATAACTGTTCTCTTACTAGTGAGACAAAATACCTGATGCTCAAATTTAAGGAAAGACAGATTTATTTAGCTCATGGTTTGTGGAGGTTTTTAGTCTATAATCAGCTGGCTTCAAGACAGGGTGGCATGAAACAGGGGCAACCATTCAAGGTGGTGGAATGCAGCAAAAGTAACAAGAGCAAAAAGGAAGAAAAGAGAGAGAGCGAGAAAGTCTCTTTCCCTTTCTGATATGTAAACAGATTACCTGCCCCAGGGTGGGGGTAACACTCGCACCAATAGTCCCAGCGTAGGACCATGAATCAATCACAAACCTAGAAACCCACCTCCGTGACTGCATGAGTCTTTGGGGTGACATCTAGACACAAACCATATCTTTCCACCCTTGGCCCCCAAAAGATTCAGGCACATCCCTTTGTGCAAAAGTCATAAAGACAGCAGAAATAACAAGAGCAAAAAGAGAGGAGTGAGAGAGACGCTTCTTTCTCTCCCTTATGTTGTATGTAGGATACCCACCCCAGGGAGGGTATAGCACTCACACCCATAATCCCCACATAGGATCGCTAATCAATCACAAACCTAGAAGGCTGCCCCCATGACTGCGTGAGGCTTGGAGGGGATATCTAGACAGAAACCACAACACTTATTTAGAGTTTGCGGGCAGATTTAGATCTTAGTCATCAGCCCCAAAATACAGATAACACAACAATAACAATCAGCAAACTCAAGCAGTCCCTAATGACATTTCCAGCAAGAATGAATGTGACCATGTCATCCCATATAAATGATAACTTTGCTGGTTCTTCAGGAGGAAAATGTAGTGACTGCCTGTTGGCAATAAGAGGGTTAACACCCTCAGTTGCTGAATTCTGGATAAAGCCATCTGACCACAAACAACTCTGGCTCAGGTCTTTGAGGTGTGCACCACTGGGCCCAGTTGGCTTCTAGCATTGATTCAGCTGTTCCTCCGCCTACTAGTGCATCTGCTGGAGAAAAGCAAAACAGAAACTGAAAATGCTGGCGACTTCTCAGCAGTCCGTGTCTTCCTGAAAGCCACATGTACAGCTCTCCTGTCAGCTAGAACCAATCTTCAGAGTCCATTTCAATTCCGGGTGCCGGGGCCTCCTGGCTCCTCCCCTGGCAGGGGCTCAAATCACCAGCTTTCTGGCCTCAGTTCCTGAGCAGCCAGCCATTCTCAGCATCACTCACACAGCAAGTCCTCTGAGAAGTGAGGAGAGGAGTGAAGCTTGGGTTTTCTGCCTCAGGGCCAGCGAAGGAGACACAGCAGGTAGGGGACGGAGAGCTACTGCTGGGCACAGAAGGATGAGGTGCCCATGGGCTAGTGCAGGCGCCTGGTTTGGGAAAAAGAACTGTCTTCAGAGAAATGGAGGGCTCTAGTCCCAGGCAGGTGGGCACCTGTGAGCTTGAAAGGGGCGCAGTCCTGCTCCTTATCCTGGCAGCAGAGTCACCCTTTCACGTGCCTCTGTTGTGAGAAGTTCCTCGGCTTACAAACCAATCAGATTGCTTTGCTTTCCAGAAAAGTTGCTCTTCCCTCTTAGTCATTGTGAAGACACGGACACCCTGTAGCAGTTTTCTTGGTTATTTCGTAGAAACAAAAGAGGAACTTTGAACAGTGGCTTAAATTTCTAGACATTACAGAAGTGGCAAGTACTAGAGAGAGGCTTTGCATCCACTTCACTGTGCTCCGCCTAGGCTAATGAGCAGGCTGCTTTTCCTAGCTGGGAGGTCCGAGGACCTGTTTCCCATGCAGGTTGCCTGGCCAACCTGACATGGAGAACAGCCGGGAGACCCCTGTGTATTAGGCCACAACAGAGACGTCTCCAGTCTGTGAAGATGGCCTTAGCTCCCGTCCATCCAGGCCGCAGCCAGGAAAAGCAGAATACAGCGATGACTTTACACTGATAGGAAGAAAGGTAGAAGGTAAGCTGGCCAGAGTCAGAATGTATGAGATTGAGTTGGGGTATAACAGAGTGGTAGACTAGACAGTAGCATAGCACGCGCACGCGCACGTGCACACGCACACACACACACACACACACACACACACACACACACAAATGGGAGACACAAAGACAGGCAGTCATATTTTATAATTTCATTTGGATTCCAAGATGTGATTCCAGGTTGTCCCAGAGCCACACACTCCTCTAGGTCTTGCTGCTTTCTCCTCTTGTTCAGCTCTCCCTGGTGGATGCTCCAGGGCTCAGGCCTTATTCTGCTTTTTGCTGTAGTAGTTCTCTTCACTGGAGGCTCTCAACCAGCCCATGACTTTAACTGTTCCCCCCTGACAGTGCCAGCAGAAAGGGAGTCACTGACCCACCACTTACCGCCTATCGCCTGGATATCTATTAAACTCAATGCACCCCTGCGGGGCATTATCACAGCTCACATCCCTTACAGCCTACCCAAACAACCCTCAGGGCTTCCCATCCCACAACAGGGATCCTCACTGGGACAGTGTGTTGAGCCCCAGAGCTTGAAGATGTCCTTGAATCTTCCTCTCATACCCCACATCCACTGGGGAAATCTATGTGTTCCCTAACGTCCTGTCTGTCGCTATGGTCATCTGGAGCAAATTGTCACTCATTCGTTCCAATGACTGTAGCATCCCTAACGTGTCTCCCCCCTTCCTGATGTGCAACTCTGAAATGTTAAGAACTATGTGTATTGCTCTCTGTCCTCAGTTCCTGATGTGGAGCTTCTGACACCCTTGCAGACAGAGACACCGTAAGGTTATTTTATTTCAAATGTCTGAGCTTTGATTCCAGTTACCAACAAGCTCCTGATGTTTATAATTTCTTGCACCACAGGAGCATGTGCTACAGAGCTGTTCTCTTGGAACTCCCTGAGGTAAAATCACTCAGTCTGGCACTGTCTGCTTGGTCCACAGGACTTCCCCCCTGCACACGCAGTCACACACGCACACACCTCTTAGACATGAGAGGTGGGAGCTTTTGTTCCAGTCAGGCAGCCCTGTGGTGGGGTTCTGGCTGGGGACTCAGCCCCCTAAAGGACTAAGCTAAGATTTGAACCTTGAAACTTTCAGTCCTCCCCCTCACTGTTTGGGAATTGGGGCGGTGCTGTGAAGTAAATCCAGGAGTGATTGGGTCTGTGTAATGTAGCCTCCACGAGAATCTCTAAATTCTGGAGTTTGGAGAGCTTCCGGACAGGTAACCGAGCACATGGATTGTCCCCAAAGGGGGGAACACGAGGATGCCCTGTTTCCATGTCCCTCTCCATCTAGCTGTTCATCTCTGTCCTTTCTCATTTCCCTCGTAGCAAATGACGGCACCTAAGTTCTGTGAGCTATTGTAGCAAATTCATCAGAAGTGCTGAGGGGGTGACAGGAAATCCCATTTTGTAGTGTGTTGGTCAGATGTTCCAGTGGCCTGATGTACAGCTGGCCTTTCAGGTGTTGATAATCTTATGGGACTGAACCCTTAGCCTCCAGGATTCAATGCTATCTCCAAGTAGAGGTGTCCCATTGTGAGAGGACACTGGGTTGACACTTGCTGAACTGGCTGTCAGTGGAGAAAATTTCTCACTAATGTTTTAGTGACAGAAATGCAAGGTGTCGGGCTGAGGATACAGTTCAGTGGCAGAGCCTGGCTAGCATGAGGTTGTGAGTTTGATCCCTGGTACCAAAAAAAAAAGAAATGTAAGGTGTGATCACAACATGTTGGTGCTAGAAATGTGTGATTATGACACCTGGTGAATATTTAAATTAAGAACAATTATTACCATAAAAGACACATTGCCATGAATCCCCCTCAAAATTCCATGCCTCCAACTTCAAACACACTTCTGAGAACCAGCTGTGTGCCTCAGTCCTCAGCCTGCCTGCCTCTGTCCACGACACTGTCCCATTCACACCCCAGGCACACATGACAGACTGCCTATGAACTGGTGGCTCCCGTTGCCTCCCCCACAGCTGCTATAGTTGCAAGAGCAGCTCTCACAACTCCACAAAACACTTTATTTTTGTCTCCAACGCTTCTGCGTGATTTCTGAGAGTGCTAGTGTCCAGGTCCCACCACCTTTCTCTTGCTCTGAGGCTATCCTCTCCTTTATTTCTTTTGGGTTTTCATGAAAGGATCATTGCAAAGCATGACTGGGGTAGTCATCAGCCACCAGAGATCAAGTCAGCCTTCAGCCCCTCTCCAATTCATAATAGTGATGGGCAGGGCAAAACAGGAGCCTTCTAATTGGAGTTAGCTTCCCAGACCACAAGTCCCCATTTTTACCATCCACAGGGCTTTGGAAAAGTCATTTCATTACCACAAATGGGGAGCTGTGGAAAGGAGAATCTTGGGAGTAACAAGGACATTTATGCTGTTATCAACTAGGAAATTCAGAGTGTTCTATAAAGTCTTTTGCCAGGAACAGGTGAGAGAACTATGTATAGTTCTTCTCAAAATACCATACTACCAATTGGATTTTAGGAAACCATAGGTCTCTTTTTTTCCCTCTAGAACGGGGTGATGCCTCAGTGCATAAATGAGAGCACTAGCCCAGTGAGCTGAGCACAGGTGTGGTTTGTACAGATAGAGAAGGGCTGAAGAAAGCAGAAAGGGTGGACAGAGAGTAACGGGGTCACTTTCCTGGTAAGGCTGGACAGGGAGACAGACAACAGGAAAGGAATTAACTAGCATATGGCTGCTATAGGTGACTTTCCAGGGCCAGAATTAAAGTTGCAGAAGCTGGATATTGGCTGTTTAGGAAACTTGGCTGTTCCCTCTCTTTCCTGACTTCCCTGAAGTTCAAGTGACAGCTTGCACTCCCCTGGAAACTTTAGCAGGAGTGACTCCACATTGACTTTTGGTAAGGTCTGTTGGAGCCCAGTGCAAGAGATTACTGCAAAACTACCACCTTCTATAATATATATCACAAAATCAGAAATAATATGTCATTGTGAATATGATTTTCACATGAATAGATTGAAGATTATGTAAATGCATAAGGAGTTTAAGGATGAGCAAATTAATCAAAGGTTACAGAAGTCAAAGGTCCCCTGGGATAGGGCAAGTGTTATAGCAGGGAGAGGGGTAATTCCGATCTGCAGTGATTATTGTGTACAGAGATGTTGCCCTTTATTTCCACTTTTGCTTTTGTGATTTCAGTTTCCTGTGGTGAACTTTGTCTCCAAAATATCAAATGGAAATTTCCAGATAATTAAATACGTTGAAATTGAGCGCTCTTGTGAATAGTTGGATGTTCCATGGATCGGCTCTTGCCCACGTGGATCATGAATCAGCCTTTCCACACTGTGTATATGACCCGCCCATTGGTCATGGAATTTGACATTGTATATCCTTGACCTCAGCCTCCCTTGAGGATCATAAAGTGGAGACTGCTATCACTACTTCTCATTTGCCCTCCGCTCAAAATAACCCTCATGCCAAAGCGGCATATTTAACAGTGGTGTATTGTTACCCTTTAATATAGAAGTCACAATTTATTGAGCCTAAACCTTCGTTTACTACATGTGAGCTGTACCTCAACATGAAATCTTGAAGCAACAGTTTGTAAATACTTAGTGCATTACGTGCTTCATTGCAACTTCTCCATTATCTCATATCTGATCACATTTGGACTTAACAAGATTTTGTGACATGTACAAGTAATCCTTTTCCATGATTTCACCCAGAAAAGCACGAGGTTCCTGGAGACATGGATTGGAAGCCAGACCGCCAAGCTGGGTAAGAATGCAAGGCCGGGGTTGGTTGGGAAAGCAAAATCAGAATTTTGTCCTTAATAAAAGAGCTACAGACATCCTCTTGATTAGGAATGAATGGACTCCAGTAGCATTTGCCATTGGACAGGTCTGGTCTTTTCACTGGTCTTTATCATTGTTATGCACATGAACATAGGTTCCCGGGAGGAAGGGTGTATTCTGTGAGGCTTAACTAAATATTTTTTTTCATTTGTTATTTTATTTAAAAGGAAAAAGAGAAAAAACAAAACAAAACAAAGCAGTGTATGGGTACAAGTAATACAGAACTACATGAAAAAAACAGTAAGAAATCACCAGTTAATAAATTACACATTATCATATTAGAGATTGTTGCTCAAGTCACAGTATCAAAGCATACAATGTGGACATTCAAACAGTGAGACTGCAAACAGTTGTGTTCAATGATCCAACCAAAAACATTAATATGGTCAGCTATTTAACACCCCTAAACACACTTGCAGTTGTATCCTTTAGAGTACTTTTTTTTTCTTCTCTTTTTTACAACAAAATTTACACATTTTGGGTTTTATTACTCCTTAGTCCTTATTACTTTTTTTTGGAAGTGAATAAAATCAAATATGCCAAAACAAAGCTGTCACTCAAAACCAAGGATAGACATACCACATGATATAAAAACAGAGTACAAGGTTATCAACAATGTTTACCATAATTCCTCTTGTTTCCTTAAAAAGAATTGTCTATCTCATAAGGTATTATAAAGTTGAACAAAACAGTAGAGAACAAGACCAATAAAACCTAAACCTTGTAAACATTACAGGACTTCCAAAGAAGATAATAGTCAAACCAGAATAGGCATCATAGTGAATCTTATTGCCTTCAAAGTAGTTGCCTATAGTCTCAAACTTGATACTATCGTACAGAACAGAACAGAGTCTAATCAGTCAAAACAAGATAGTGGGTGTTCAAATCAATCATTACAGGATTTCAAATCATGTTAATAGGAAATCAAAAATGTTACTATAATATATCCTGCTAATTTTTTTGATTTTCCCCCTTAATTAAAAAATCATAACAAATAACTAAATAATTTTTTAATGAATAAGGGAGAGATTGAGATAAAAGTGGACATAACAACATACCAATACAGGTCAAAGCATGACAGTTTCAGCAACCTAGTGCTTCACCACCAAATAACCCGATTTAATGGTAGTTACCGTAGTGTCCTTTTCCTTGAAATATTTGAATATAACTTCATGTACTATAGCTTCAAACATATCAAGTCAGTGTAAAACCATTCAAGTGGATGAAAGCATTGTAGGGTATTTAGAACCAGCTAACAGAAAAGAAACAATGGTTTCTATATCATGTTTCTATATCTTTGCCTATAACAATTTTTGTTTATACTATCACATATACTAAAATCCAGCAAGATACATCATGATAAAACCAGTGGAGATAGAAGAGCCATAGTTTGGTGGGGCCTCAAAACAAGGTGATAGTAAATCAGCACTAGCTAGTATAATGACTTATTTTCTTCAAAATAGCTGTTCATTTCATCACAGGCAATAATATCAAGCAGCCCAGAATAAAACCATTCCAATTAATAAGTGAAATCTTTATAAGGCTTCCAGGCCACATAATGGGGAATCATGATTACCACCTACTTTTATATATTTGAATCATTACTTACATTAGGGAAACTATGCAACTAAATATTGTAAACAGCAACACAAGTTTTAGTCATTTCCATGACATTGTGGGCATAGGACCCGCAGAACAGAAACAGCCCGATCTGGGGCCTCCCTCCATGAGACCAAAGAAGGCAGGAATTCCTTTTGGCTCACATACCAGCAGAGGAGCTCTTCAGCATTCCCGGGCACAGATGTCCCCACTTGGGATATTTGGCTTAATTAAGAAACCGTGAAGCCAACTTCCTATTAGCTATGGACTGTTTCAGAGTTTTAGAGCAAATGCAAAGGCACAGCTGAGATTCAAAGTGACACTGCTCCTCGCTCTTTCTCTTGTGCTTCCACACCCAGAGGGACCGGGTGGGGCGGACTGTGACATCTGCACAGTTTGGGGCTCCTCACAGGGCCAACATCATCGCCTTCACCCCGCCCCTTCTCCCCTGCACCCCAGAGACCTTCTGCTCTGTGGACTGATTTACATCTGCTCTTTTACTACTAATTGGGCTAATTAATATGTATCAATACTTATTATTAACATTATAAAATATTAATATTAATAATATTAATATCTATTAATCTATTAAAGTAAAGAATTTTCACAATATTTGATTTTTAACCTCTTTTAGTGAGGAATTGTGTATTTGTGTGTATATGATGAGAGAGACAGATTCGTTAAAAGATATTCATAGATTTATCTAAGCTCAGTGCTCAGTACATCCTATTCTATCTTTGTGAGAAACCATTGCATATCACACATTATGTACTTAGGCCCAGCTGTTTATGTGGTGTTTACATTGTTTTCAGCATCCTAAGAAATCTAGACATGATTTATATCGGGGAATGTTCATGGATAGTAAGCAGAACTGTGCCAGTTTTGGTTAAGGCTTGGAGCACCCCCAAATTTTGATATCTTCATGGGGTCCTGGAACCCACCACTGGGGATACTGAGGCACGACTGTCCTTCATTGAGGGACCCTGATATGAGTAGAGCCAGAGAACAACAGCAGGAAGCCCTGGACCTTGTGAGGCTGCTTCCCTGTCAGACCTCCATAGTGTCCTCCCGGGGTGGGGGGGGGCGTCTTTCATCTTTAGGTTCCTCTACTGACCAGCACAGAAGGTCACTCAAATTCCCTCCAGGCCCCTTCAGACTCTGTTCTGCTTTGTGCTGGGACACCTGTGTTTCACCAGTGTCTGCTACTCACCCTACAGGAAATAAATGTCCCTTGGCAGGGCAATGTGCCCTAAAGAAGCAGCTTTGGTCTTCCCAACACTGCTACGCTGTGAAGGCCAAGTTTAACCAGGTTGGCAAAGACCCCTTAACACTCTGTGCTGAGAAATGCTAGGGGCAGTAGGGCTGGGACTGTGTTCCAAGGCCCTTCCATGGAGGAACATTGCCTTTTGTTGTCTACACCAGAAAGGTGGCCAAGTGCCCAGGAGAATCTAGAACGTGAGTCAGATTTCATCTTGACCACTCAGTGTAAAACTCCAGAGAACGGACGGCCAACCATGGGGACCAAGGTCAAGGTCATCAAGTGGAATGTTTACCCCACCTTGCCCCCTCCTCCCCTGACTCACCTTGTCTGGTAGGACTACCACGCCCTGCCCAACACCTGGCTCATCTTCCTCCTGTGTGCCAGACTTCTCCCTCCACAGGTCTCATGTTTCTTTGCTCCCCAGGTTCCTTCTCTGAAGCAGCATCCTAGCATATCCCCACTGCTCTCCTCCTCAACGGCGCTCTCGTTTCTCTGGGACAAATCTACCTGACCTTTGTCTTTGGCCAGCGTTCAGGTTCCTCACATGGTCCTGTCCACATACCACTGTCATTGCCCCCTTCTCTATTTGAGGAAACAAGAGCTTCCTTTGAAGGTTGAGCTTCTCAGTGTAATTCTAGGGCTTTCCATGGGACATTGGGGGGTATTGAGAAAACCTCCAGAAGCTATATGGATGGGCCAATTGAAGAGTCAGACTTTTCCATTTGAGAGGCTGAAGGCAAATCCTTATTTCACTGGTTCCTACAGGGAGGAGGATGCAGGCTGGGGACCACAGGATGATGAAGAGCTGTCTGCTGAAAAGATACAATTTCTGGAAACGTTTCCCAAGTGGAAACAGCAGCGAGAAATGGTCATTGCAGAGCTCTATGAACTTGCACATGACGCTGACACGGCATATCAGGCACAGCCTATGGAAGCCACAGCCATAGGTGCCAATGCCAACTTAAAGTGGGGGAGGTGGCATAGAATTTGAGCTTATCCTTCCTCTGAGTCACCTCCACATAAAGGACACCTTGGCGCTGCCCAGTACTTGGCCTTGTCTTCCTGCTGTCTGTTTGATGTCTCTTAAGTCACCCTACATTCCTTAGCTTGCACAGGATCCCAGCATTTTCATTTTCTTCCCGCACGGAAGTTACTCTTGTTCCTCTGGCCAAGTCTGGACTCATCCTCCAGGACAAGTCTGCCTGCCCAGTCTTTTCAGCCAGTGCTGAGAGTCTGCCCAGTGTCCTGTCCAAATTCCCCCACTGCACCCTTCTCTACTCATTGAAACAGAGGTTTCCTCCAAAGCTTGAACTTCTCAGTGACCTTGTGAGACATTTTAAGGTTTAGTGTTGGGACTGACAGAACATCCAAAAGCCACATGTTTGGCTGAGAGTTGGACTTCCATTTGGGAGGCTAAAGTCAAGTGGTGTTTTTCTCACAGGGAAGAAGAGGATGCACCTGTGGAGGCAGATGTGGGACAAGATGGAGATCTGTCTGATGAAGAAATAAGATTTTTGGAAGAGTTTCCTGAGTGGAAAAAAAAGCAAGAAGAGTCCATTGAAACACTTCGCAAGTTTGCAAAGCGTGCAGATAGGGTCTGCAAACAGTTTGCCAAAAGAAAAGTAGTGAACAAAATTTGCACCCTTGTCTCTGAATCGGTGAGCTTTGCAGGTTTAGCTCTAGCCCCATCAACAGCAGGACTAAGCCTGCCACTCATAATTTTTGGCCAAAGTTTGTCAGCATTAGCTTCACTCAAGGGGATTAAGACAGAGATGAATGAAAAATCTTGCAATGAACTACTCCTTTCTCAGGTAAACAGCCAAGTGCCTAACCCTGATCAAATGTTTGAGGACACTGGTGGAAAGACGATCTCCTATATCAAATCTGCTGGCCAGGCTTTGTACAAGTGTGGGAGAGCGGGGGAGGTTATCAGCAAGGGATTCCGTGTACTTTCAAAGTCCGCTAAATCCCTGCCCATAATGAAAGCAGGTCCCTTAGTTCTTGCGTCTCTTGGCGAAGACGTATACACTCTCTGGGATAACTGGGGCAAACTGAAGGATGAAGCAAAGGCAGAGCTCGCAGAAGATCTAAGAGATCGGGCTAAGGAGCTGGAAGAGGAACTAATAATAAAAACCAAACGCTACGACACACTGAAAAAGAAGGTGAGGTCAAGATTTGGGATATAGGGTGGGAGGGGATACTATAAGTGGGGTCTGAGGGAGCCAAGATTGAAGGGCTGAGGGTGCACGCAGCAAAGTGTGCATGGGTGAGCTTCGGTACACGGCATTAGGTGACCTGGAGGTGCAAATATTGTGAAGGCCACCATGGGGATGATGGTGCTACTGTGGTCAGACCTGGTGCTGCCTCTTGCTGCTCCTTGAAGGTACCTTGAAGCCCATGTACTGGCAAGAGGCTCTTCCCAAATTGACAGAAGAGGTCCCTGAGCCTTGGTCTTGATTCATCCCTTCCAATTTTGGAAGCTGGTAAGGTCACAGTCAATACACCAACAGCACCAGGCTCCATGTGTGGGGAGGGCTTCCTTCCTTCTTCACAGAAGGTGCCATCTTGTGGCATCCTCACCTAGAAGTGGGACAGCAAAGCTCCCTGGGACCCAATCTTAATTCTAAAGATCTACCCTCATACCTTACTTGCTCCCCAAATTCCTTATGTCTTAAGATCATCACCCTGGGTATTAGGATTCGTCCCATGCATTTAGGCAGACATCAATATTCAGACTTAGCACTAAATTCTCGAAGGTAGGGTGTTGATAGATACAGAACAGCAGACTAAGCAGCCTGACATTGTGGCTGGTGTTAATCTGCCACACTTTGAGCTTTGGGGCCTTTCTTGGATAGATACCCTTTGTTTTCTTCTTTTTTAAAATAGACGTAGATTAATTATTGTGTTCATTATTTCCCCTCTAGAAAGAGTTGAGAGCAAAGCAGTTTATGAAGTCCTCTTCAAAGGGAGCCAAGAAGACTCCAAATCAGTCTCCATCAAGGAATGGAAAAGCAGGATGCCAGTGTTCAGGAAACAGGCAGACACGGACCTCGGAGATGCACTAAAGGGTCCAGGGCGGCAGCAGCAGCAGCATTGCTGGCTGAGGGGAGGTACAGAGAGTCTCCAACTAGAGGTCCTTTAGACTCGGCAAGGACGAGTTCAGCCCAAGAGAGGGCGTTGCCAGACTGGCAGGGCCACCCTGTCTCCTTACCCTCTACCACTTTACTGTGGTTCCCAGTCATCAGTACTCTTTAGACTAGTGATGTTTTCTGCCAGCTTCTATAATAAGTTGCAGAAATATTAAGTAATAATAAGATGGAACCTGCAGGGAGAAAGGTGTCTTTGTTCTGTGGCCTATATGGGCATACTGGCCTCTCTGCTGTTTCCTGTTCCATAGCTATCAGTCCCATAAGTAGCTGGGATTGCCGGTGCGCCAGGTCACTGAGTTAATTTTTGTATATGGTGCTAGATCACGGTCCATCTTCTTCATCTTCATCTTCAGGAATACATCTATTTCCCCCAGCACCATTTATTGAAAACAGTGTCTGTTTCCCCTGAAGATCTTGGTGCCCTAGTTAAGGTCATATGTGATAGCTTATTTCTGAGCTATTCTATTATCATAACCTATCCTTTCCTATCCTATCCTATCCTATCCTATCCTATCCTATCCTATCCTACCCCATCCTGTTTGCATTTGTCTTTATGCCAGTACCATGCTGTTTTATTGTAGCTTTTTAATAAATTTTAAAATCAGGAAGTGTGATTTCTTCAGTTTGGTTCTTTTATTTCAACATTCATTGCTTTAGCTAATCTGGGTCCATTGAGGTTGCATATAAATTTTAAGATAGATTTTTTTCCTTCTTTAAAAATTTTTTTATTAGTACCCGTTTACGGTGCATGGTGATTACATACATTCTTTGCAGTTGGCACAAGTATGTTAAAAATCTTAATTCTTTTTTTATTCCATTGTCTCAAGTCTCTCTCTCTCTTAGTCCCTACCCTTTTGAAAAAGATCTCCATGTTTTCTATTTTATCAGTCAGTGCTGGCTCGAGAAACAGATTTAAGGCAAGCTATACAGATATATAAGAATTTAGAGACTGGCTTCCAGTGGCTGCCTGCAGAGTCAGGTGAACAAGAGTCGAAAAGCTCTGTCTGCAGGCTAGAGATCCAAAAGGTCCAGTCGGCAGCTTGGGGCTCAGTGTAGTGTTCTTTGGGGGTCTGTAGCAGGAGACGGCAGAGTCTGCAATAAAAGGTTGAAGGGTCCTTGCTGGAAGCTGAAAAGTCTGTGCCAGAAGCCAGGAGATGACATCCAATGGGAAGCCAGGAGATGACATCCAATGGGAAGCCAGGAGATGACATTCAATGGGAAGGCAAAGACTGCAGCTCCTGGGGTGGGGGAAAAGCCTTGCTTCTTCTTTCCCTCCATACACCATTGGACAACGATCGGCTGTAGGGCGGGACTTCTGTTTTCAGTAAACCCCCACAGCCACACTCAGAACTCTTGATTCATTTTAGTAGGGTGTTTCTTACACAAATGGATACAGTTAATTACCACACCAATAATAAAATGGAATTTTATTTCTGCAAAAAATCCTGTTGCATTTGTTTCCTTGTTCTTGCTTGTTTTGTTGGCACTGATCATGGAAACCAGGGTCTGTTGCACACCAGGCCAGCACACTACCACTAAATTACATTCCCAGCCAGTTTCCTTTTCAAAATTTGGGACAAGTCCTCAGTATTTTGCTTTGGGTATTCTAGGAAACTAGAGATCCTCCTGCCTCAGCTGCCTGATTATAGGCATGCTCCATCCTTGGGATTTTGACAGGGATCAGACCAAATCTACAAATCTCAATGGGCATGGTATTAGTCTGCTTCCTTGTTGCTGGAATACAATACTTGGAAGCCTCAATTTAATGAGGAGAGGTTTCCATTGGTACATCATTTACAGGTGTTTCATGTATGGCCAGCAAGCTCTGAGATACAAGCATGGTGAGAGAGCTTGGGAAGTCAAAATTTCTTAGTTCTCGGTGACTCGGTAGCAGAGTGAAAGGACCATCCCAAACAGGAAGGCGCGAGAGCCAGAACTAGACCACCAGGCCGGATGCCCCTGCATGACCCACCCAGAGACACCCAGACATGCACTCCATCTCTGCGCTGAACAGATCCCCAGATCAATAAGCTAACACTCCACCCTAACCACATCTAACCCGCTGTCAACACAGACATCACCTTAAACCATACTTAGTCTCCATGAAGTCATTAGGGAGTTCAGAGTTCACCCTCACATAATACATCTATCCCGTCTACAACTGAAAACACAATTCCGTTCCCCAGGTTTTCACACTGTCAGCATTTCTAGAAAGCTTAAATCAAAGCCTCTGCTGGACTGAAGAGAGCCTGTACTGTAATCCTCTGTGAAAATAAAGCACAGGTTACATAATCTCAAGGTACAGTGCCACAGAATAAATGTTCCCATTCCAAAAGGGAGAAATAAAGGGCTGAACAAGAATTTGACCAAAGCAAGATGAAAAGTAGCAGGCTAAACCTTAAATCCTTTAGTTCTATGTCCAGCATGGAGGGCACATGGCTGTGAGATGCTTCCCAGAGCCTAGGGGTGACCCAAGCTCCATGGCCTTCTGTATGTCCCATTTGGCCTTTCTCTTAGGCTGGTTCCACTCCTGGGCTACACCTTTCCTAGAGGACATCCCATCTTCCTGGTATCTCTACTTGTCTGTGCTATCCATAAGCACATTTTACTTGCTTTTCACAACTTCATCCACTACTGTCTCAGAGGTTCCTTGCCTGAATTCTAGACTTTTCTTCAAACTCTGGGTAGTAGTCTCACTTACCTCACAACTCCTTCATTGTGCATACCCATAAAACCAACAGTACATGGATGATGCCCGTGTCTGCTGTGAGCGAAAGCAGTAGCCAGGCCTCCTTGGATCATGACTACAGTGGTTCCTGAGTACGTAGATGGCTATAAGGAACCAGTTCCTTAGGTAGCCCTTCTTGAACCAGGATCTCAGGCACTCTCCTCTCAAATGAAAAACAGACATTTTTGTGCCCTCGAGCTTGCTTTACTTGAGATGGGGTCCCAGTCATTCTTGAGATGTTCTCAAGGCATTTTTGTTCTTGTCGCTGTAGTAAATATTGATGCCACAGTCTGAATGTTGGGTTATCTTGTGACTTCTTTTGCCAGATTAATTAGTCCACCATCTTTAATCTCAGTCTCTTGAAAAATGTCGGAAACTGGTAAACATATAGACAAACTTTGTGCCAGAGCACAAAAAGCATGGCCTGCTAGTAGTCCAAATGCCAATGGAGTCCTAATTCCCAAGCAAAACCTCCTGACCTAGGCTTTACTCTCTGCATTCCAGTCAGTGTTCTATCCTTCTGAGCTCTGCCTGCAATCACTTGTCAGGCTTTGCCTCCAAAGTTCTAAGGCTTTTCTAGTCCACATCACCAAATCTTTCCAAATTCTTCCCGTAAAGCACTTGCAAAGTTTTTTTTTTACTACATAACCAGGTTCAGTCACAGTATGATGAGGTTCAACCCCACTGTTGGCATCAATTTTCTTTATTAGTCAGATTTCTTACACTGGGACACCGTATTTGACACCAGACATTTAACTCATGTTTTCTAGGGATTCAGTCCATGATCAACAATCTCCAACACACAACCTTCATGTCAGGAGAGAGTGATGGAGCCAAGTGCAGAAAAGAAGGGACAAGGGACATCACAGAGAACCCCAAGGTGTACAACTGTGACCCTCCTAGACACACAGAAATGTGGTTTAGCAATCCTTGGGCACCTCTCAAATCAATCAAGTTCATATTCTACCCTATACAACACAATACTATCATTCTAAACAGGAGCAAAACTTGCCATACATCAAGGCAGGAGGTCTTCCCAGCTGTAAACACCACCTTTCATTAATATACAGCTTTTCATATATAAGTCTTTCACTTCCTTGGTTAAGATTCATCAATAACTTAAAGGTGGTCTCTCTTCACAATAATTCCCAGCAGCCAGTGTGGAACACAACTGATATCATACTTTAAAGGTGCTAAATGTAGCCCTGCGACCAAAAAACAAAAAAACAAAAAAACAAAAACAACTCCGAAAAATTTGTGTATGTGTGTGGAGGGTGGACCCCAAAAGATCTACAGAATTGTTTCTTTCTGTCATGATGCCTTGCCTTGGCTATCCTTGATCACCAAGGCCAAGAGGGTTGGAATTATGCCTGTAAACAAACAAAGACACAATCATGGCTCTATTTAAGCCTCTACACAGGAAGACAAGGCCACTCAAGTCTGGGCACACCAAGTTCCTAACTGCACAAAAGTTATGTCACCAAAGCCAAAGGTCTGAATTTAGGCTCAGGCAACACAATCCTGGAATCCTGGAAGATTCTTTTACAATTTAAATTTCACTTTGAATCATTTTCCAGGTGTTTGATCCTCTCAACAGCCCAAAAAGAGATATATGATTTTGGCCGAAGGAGATCGGAATGTTCCCTTAATTATTAACAGAACAAGTTTTTTTCTATGAGCTCCATATATTTAGGAATATTTTTCCATGTGTTTGGGTAGTGATGTTTCCCGACAGCAATCTTCCGGAAGGTCACCCGGCACCCAGACCTGTCCTGCACTACCTACACCTTAGAGGAGCCAAGTCAAGCCCGTGCTGTCTTGAAGAGGTATATCTTAAGGAAGGTACAGATTTCCCATTGTCAATAAAAGGGTTAACTCCCTTAACAGCTGAACTCTGGCAACAGAGAACTCGGGCTCATGTCTTTCCGCCCCGTGTCCAGTAAATGGTCACAGAGCAGTCACCAGCCTTAACAGATGGAGCCATGCATTCACCAAAGAGTCACCACACATCTTGCCTAAAAGATACAGAACCTCTTACTGTCTTTTCCACTAAAAGTAGAGGTCTGATGAAGTCCTCTGGTTGACATTGCAACCAACCGTAAGCATAATATTAAACATGATATGGGTGTTCAAAGAAAATGCAAAATGCTCAATAATCCAGGAGAAAGACATTGTCTGTATAACCACATTGCCCCCTAAACCTCTTTTTTAAATCGTCAGACCCTCATAAAAAGCCCAGTCCCTCACTGACTGTTCAGTCTGTGTTGGAGACCTGTCCACAGCTCCCCCGTGTGACAAACTATGCCCAGAGTAAAATCTGGTCTCCTCTCCATTCCTTGTCTATTGGCAAATTCTTTCTTTTACTAATCCACGCGGGAGCCGTACCCAAGCCTTCTCTCAAGGGACACTGCCTTTCTCTACATGAACAAACAAATACTTCTTCCTCCCTAGAGTTGTGCAGGGGCAGTCACAGCCCCTGCTCACACAGCTAGGAAGGAGCAAGGGGAGACCCAGACTTCTGGCTTTCTGCTGTTCTGTCTTTTGCAACTGAGGCTTGACCTAGTGGTGCTCTGTCACTGAGCTATGTCCCTCGCCAGTTTAAAAATTATTTCTCATTTTGAGATGGGTCTGCTGAAGCTGTCCAGGCTGACCTCCAGCTCACAATCCTCCTGCCTCACTCTCACTGCTTGTTGGGATTACAGGCGTGTGAACTTGTGCCCTGTGAGCCCCTGGCTTTCAGTCTGCACTGTCACCTCACTGCGCATCAACTGGAGAAAAGCAAAACAGAAACCGAAAATGCTGGGCACTTCTCAGCAGTCCGGGTCTTCCTGGAAGTCACATCTACAGCTCTCCTGTACACGCGGCGGTCAGCCAGAACCAGTCTTCAGAGTCCATTTCAATTCCTGGTGCCTGGGCCTCCTGGCTCCTCCCCTGGCAGGGGCTCAAATCATCCAGCTTTCTGGCCTCAGTTCCTGAGCAGCCAGCCACTCTCAGCATCACTCACACAGCAAGTCCTCTGAGAAGTGAGGAGAGGAGTGAAGCTTGGGCTTTCTCCCTAAGGGCCAGCGAAGGAGACACAGCAGGTAGGGGACGGAGAGCTACTGCTGGGCACAGAAGGATGAGGTGCCCAAGGGCTGGTGCAGGCGCCTGGTTTGGGAAAAAGAACTGTCTTCAGGGAAATGGAGGGCTCTAGTCCCAGGCAGGTGGGCACCTGTGAGCTTGAAAGGGGCGCAGTCCTGCTCCTTATCCTGGCAGCAGAGTCACCCTTTCACGTGCCTCTGTTGTGAGAAGTTCCTCGGCTTACAAACCAATCAGATTGCTTTGCTTTCCAGAAAAGTTGCTCTTCCCTCTTAGTCATTGTGAAGACACGGACACCCTGTAGCAGTTTTCTTGGTTATTTCGTAGAAACAAAAGAGGAACTTTGAACAGTGGCTTAAATTTCTAGACATTACAGAAGTGGCAAGTACTAGAGAGAGGCTTTGCATCCACTTCACTGTGCTCCGCCTAGGCTAATGAGCAGGCTGCTTTTCTTGGCTGGGAGGTCCGAGGACCTGTTTCCCATGCAGGTTGCCTGGCCAGCCTGAACATGGAGAACAGCAGGGGGACCCCTGTGTATTAGGCCACAACAGAGACGTCTCCAGTCTGTGAAGATGGCCTTAGCTCCCGTCCATCCAGGCCGCAGCCAGGAAAAGCAGAATACAGCGATGACTTTACACTGATAGGAAGAAAGGTAGAAGGTAAGCTGGCCAGAGTCAGAATGTATGAGATTGAGTTGGGGTATAACAGAGTGGTAGACTAGACAGTAGCATAGCACGCGCACGCGCACGTGCACACACACACACACACACACACACACACACAAATGGGAGACACAAAGACAGGCAGTCATATTTTATAATTTCATTTGGATTCCAAGATGTGATTCCAGGTTGTCCCAGAGCCACACACTCCTCTAGGTCTTGCTGCTTTCTCCTCTTGTTCAGCTCTCCCTGGTGGATGCTCCAGGGCTCAGGCCTTATTCTGCTTTTTGCTGTAGTAGTTCTCTTCACTGGAGGCTCTCAACCAGCCCATGACTTTAACTGTTCCCCCCTGACAGTGCCAGCAGAAAGGGAGTCACTGACCCACCACTTACCGCCTATCGCCTGGATATCTATTAAACTCAATGCACCCCTGCGGGGCATTATCACAGCTCACATCCCTTACAGCCTACCCAAACAACCCTCAGGGCTTCCCATCCCACAACAGGGATCCTCACTGGGACAGTGTGTTGAGCCCCAGAGCTTGAAGATGTCCTTGAATGTTCCTCTCACACCCCACATCCACTGGGGAAATCTATGTGTTCCCTAACGTCCTGTCTGTCGCTATGGTCATCTGGAGCAAACTGCTACTCATTCGTTCCAATGACTGTAGTATCCCTAACGTGTCTCCCCCCTTCCTGATGTGCAACTCTGAAATGCTAAGAACTATGTGTATTGCTCTCTGTCCTCAGTTCCTGATGTGGAGCTTCTGGCACCCTTGCAGACGGAGACACCGTAAGGTTATTTTATTTCAAATGTCTGAGCTTTGATTCCAGTTACCAACAAGCTCCTGATGTTTATAATTTCTTGCACCACAGGAGCATGTGCTACAGAGCTGTTCTCTTGGAACTCCCTGAGGTAAAATCACTCAGTCTGGCACTGTCTGCTTGGTCCACAGGACTTCCCCCCTGCACACGCAGTCACACGTGCACACACCTCTTAGACATGAGAGGTGGGAGCTTTTGTTCCAGTCAGGCAGCTCTGTGGTGGGGTTCTGGCTGGGGACTCAGCACCCTAAAGGACCAAGCTAAGATTTGAACCTTGAAACTTTCAGTCCTCCCCCTCACTGTTTGGGAATTGGGGCGGTGCTGTGAAGTAAATCCAGGAGTGATTGGGTCTGTGTAATGTAGCCTCCACGAGAATCTCTAAATTCTGGAGTTTGGAGAGCTTCCGGACAGGTAACCGAGCACATGGATTGTCCCCAAAGGGGGGAACACGAGGATGCCCTGTTTCCATGTCCCTCTCCATCTAGCTGTTCATCTCTGTCCTTTCTCATTTCCCTCGTAGCAAATGACGGCACCTAAGTTCTGTGAGCTATTGTAGCAAATTCATCAGAAGTGCTGAGGGGGTGACAGGAAATCCCATTTTGTAGTGTGTTGGTCAGATGTTCCAGTGGCCTGATGTACAGCTGGCCTTTCAGGTGTTGATAATCTTATGGGACTGAACCCTTAGCCTCCAGGATTCAATGCTATCTCCAAGTAGAGGTGTCCCATTGTGAGAGGACACTGGGTTGACACTTGCTGAACTGGCTGTCAGTGGAGAAAATTTCTCACTAATGTTTTAGTGACAGAAATGCAAGGTGTCGGGCTGAGGATACAGTTCAGTGGCAGAGCCTGGCTAGCATGAGGTTGTGAGTTTGATCCCTGGTACCAAAAAAAAAAGAAATGTAAGGTGTGATCACAACATGTTGGTGCTAGAAATGTGTGATTATGACACCTGGTGAATATTTAAATTAAGAACAATTATTACCATAAAAGACACATTGCCATGAATTCCCCTCAAAATTCCATGCCTCCAACTTCAAACACACTTCTGAGAACCAGCTGTGTGCCTCAGTCCTCAGCCTGCCTGCCTCTGTCCACGACACTGTCCCATTCACACCCCAGGCACACATGACAGACTGCCTATGAACTGGTGGCTCCCGTTGCCTCCCCCGCAGCTGCTATAGTTGCAAGAGCAGCTCTCACAACTCCACAAAACACTTTATTTTTGTCTCCAACGCTTCTGCGTGATTTCTGAGAGTGCTAGTGTCCAGGTCCCACCACCTTTCTCTTGCTCTGAGGCTATCCTCTCCTTTATTTCTTTTGGGTTTTCATGAAAGGATCATTGCAAAGCATGACTGGGGTAGTCATCAGCCACCAGAGATCAAGTCAGCCTTCAGCCCCTCTCCAATTCATAATAGTGATGGGCAGGGCAAAACAGGAGCCTTCTAATTGGAGTTAGCTTCCCAGACCACAAGTCCCCATTTTTACCATCCACAGGGCTTTGGAAAAGTCATTTCATTACCACAAATGGGGAGCTGTGGAAAGGAGAATCTTGGGAGTAACAAGGACATTTATGCTGTTATCAACTAGGAAATTCAGAGTGTTCTATAAAGTCTTTTGCCAGGAACAGGTGAGAGAACTATGTATAGTTCTTCTCAAAATACCATACTACCAATTGGATTTTAGGAAACCATAGGTCTCTTTTTTTCCCTCTAGAACGGGGTGATGCCTCAGTGCATAAATGAGAGCACTAGCCCAGTGAGCTGAGCACAGGTGTGGTTTGTACAGATAGAGAAGGGCTGAAGAAAGCAGAAAGGGTGGACAGAGAGTAACGGGGTCACTTTCCTGGTAAGGCTGGACGGGGAGACAGACAACAGGAAAGGAATTAACTAGCATATGGCTGCTATAGGTGACTTTCCAGGGCCAGAATTAAAGTTGCAGAAGCTGGATATTGGCTGTTTAGGAAACTTGGCTGTTCCCTCTCTTTCCTGACTTCCCTGAAGTTCAAGTGACAGCTTGCACTCCCCTGGAAACTTTAGCAGGAGTGACTCCACATTGCCTTTTAGTAAGGTCTGTTGGAGCCCAGTGCAAGAGATTAGTGCAAACCTACCACCTTCTATAATATATATCACAAAATCAGAAATAATATGTCATTGTGAATATGATTTTCACATGAATAGATTGAAGATTATGTAAATGCATAAGGAGTTTAAGGATGAGCAAATTAATCAAAGGTTACAGAAGTCAAAGGTCCCCTGGGGTAGGGCGAGTGTTATTAGCAGGAAGTGGGGTGATTCCGATCTGCAGTGATTATTGTGTATAGAGATGTTGGCCTATATTTCCACTTTTGCTTTTGTGTTTTCAGTTTCCTGTGGTGAACTTTGTCTCCAAAATATCAAATGGAAATTTCCAGATAGTTAAATACGTTGAAATTGAGCACTCTTGTGAATAGTTGGATGTTCCATGGATCGGCTCTTGCCCACGTGGAACATGAATCAGCCTTTCCACTCTGTGTATATGACCCGCCCATTGGTCATGTAATTTGACATTGTATATCCTTGACCTCAGCCTCCCTTGAGGATCATAAAGTGGAGACTGCTATCACTACTTCTCATTTGCCCTCTGCTCAAAATAACCCGCATGCCAAAGCGGCATATTTAGGAGTGGTGTATTGTTACCCTTTAATATAGAAGTCACAATTTATTGAGCCTAAACCTTCGTTTACTACATATGAGCTGTACCTCAACATGAAATCTTGAAACAACAGTTTGTAAATACTTAATGCATTACGTGCTTCATTGCAACTTCTCCATTATCTCAAATCTGACCACATTTGGACTTAACAGGATTTTGTGACATGTAGAAGTAATCCTTTTCCATGCTTTCACGCAGAAAAACACGAGGTTCCTGGAGACATGGATTGGAAGCCAGACCGCCAAGCTGGGTAAGAATGCAAGGCCGGGGTTGGTTGGGAAAGGAAAGTCAGAATTTTGTCCTTAATAAAAGAGCTGCAGACATCCTCATGATGAGGAATAAATGGACTCCAGTAGCATTTGCCATGAGACAGGTCTGGTCTTTTCACTGGTCTTTATCTTTGTTATGCACAGGAACATAGGTTCCCGGGAGGAAGGGTGTATTCCGTGAGGCTTTACTAAATGTTTTTTTTTTTTTTAATTTAAAAGGAAAAAGAGAAAAAACAAAACAAAAAAATCAGTGTAAGGGTACAAGTAATACAGAACTACATAAAAAAAGTAAGAAATCACCAGTTAATAGATTACACATTATCATCTTAGAGATAGTTGCTCAAGTCACAGTATCAAAGCATACAATGTGGACCTTCAAACAGTGAGACTGAAAACAGTTGTGTTCAATGATCTAACCAAAAACATTAATATGGTCAGCTATTTAACACCCCTAAACACACTTGCAGTTGTATCCTTTAGAGAACTTTTTTTTTCTTCTCTTTTTTTTACAACAGAATTTACACATTTTGGGTTTTTTTACTCCTCAGTTCTTATTACTTTTTTTTTGGAAGAGAATAAAGTCAAATATGACAAAACAAAGCTGTCAGTCAAAACCAAGAATAGACATACCACATGATGTAAAAACAGGGTACAAGGTTATCAACAATGTTTACCATAATTCCTCTTGTTTCCTTAAAAAGAATTGTCTATCTCATTAGGTATTATAAAGTTGAACAAAACAGTAGAGAACAAGACCAATAAAACCTAAACCTTGTAAACATTACAGGACTTCCAAAGAAGATAATAGTCAAACCAGAATGGGCATCATAGTGAATCTTATTGCCTTCAAAGTAGTTGCCTATACCCTCAAACTTGATACTATCATACAGAACGGAACAGAGTCTAATCAGTCAAAACAAGATAGTGGGTGTTCAAATCAATCATTACAGGATTTCAAATCAAGTTAATAGGAAATCAAAAATGTTACTATAATATATCCTGCTAATTTTTTTGATTTTCCCCCTTAATTAAAAAATCATAACAAATAACTAAATAATTTTTTAATGAATAAGGGAGAGATTGAGATAAAAGAGGACATGACAACATAAGAACGCAGGTCAAAGCATGACAGTTTCAGCAACCTAGTGCTTCAATACCAAATAACCCGATTTAATAGTAGTTACCATAATGTCTTTTTCCTTGAAATAGTTGAATATAACTTCATATACTATAGCTTCAAACATATCAAGTCAGTGTAAAACCATTCAAGTGGATGAAAGCATTGTAGGGTATTTAGAACCAGCTAACAGAAAACAAACATGGTTTCTATATCACGTTTCTATATCTTTGCCTATAACAATTTTTGTTTATACTATCAGATATACTAAAATCCAGCAAGATACATCATGATAAAACCAGTGGAGATAGAAGAGCCATAGTTTGGTGGGGCCTCAAAACAAGGTGATAGTAAATCAGCACTAGCTATTATAATGACTTATTTTCTTCCAAATAGCTGTTCATTTCATCACAGGCAATAATATCAAGCAGCCCAGAATAAAACCATTCCAATTAATAAGTGAAATCTTTATAAGGCTTCCAGGCCACATAATGGGGAATCATGATTACCACCTACTTTTATATATTTGAATCATTACTTACATTAGGGAAACTATGCAACTAAATATTGTAAACAGCAACACAAGTTTTAGTCATTTCCATGACATTGTGGGCATAGGACCCGCAGAACAGAAACAGCCCGATCTGGGGCCTCCCTCCATGAGACCAAAGAAGGCAGGAATTCCTTTTGGCTGACATACCAGCAGAGGAGCTCTGCAGCATTCCCGGGCACAGATGTCCCCACTTGGGATATCTGGCTTAATTAAGAAACCGTGAAGCCAAGTTCCTATTAGCTATGGACTGTTTCAGAGTTTTAGAGCAAATGCACAAGGCACAGCTGAGATTCAAAGTGACACTGCTCCTCGCTCTTTCTCTTGTGCTTACACACCCAGAGGGACCGGGTGGGGCGGACTGTGACATCTGCACAGTTTGGGGCTCCTCACAGGGCCAACATCATCGCCTTCACCCCGCCCCTTCTCCCCTGCACCCCAGAGACATTCTGCTCTGTGGACTGATTTACATCTGCTCTTTTACTACTAATTGGGCTAATTAATATATATCAATATTTATTAACATTATAAAATATTAATATTAGTAATATTAATATTTATTAATCTATTAAACTGAAGAATTTTCACAATATTTGACTTTTAACCTCTTTTAGTGAGGAATTGTGTATTTGTGTGTATATGATGAGAGAGACAGATTCGTCAAAATATTTTCATAGATCTATCTACGCTCAGTGCTCAGTACGTCCTATTCTACCTTTGTGAGAAACCACTGCAGATCACACATTATGTACTTAGGCCCAGCTGTTTATGTGGTGTTTACATTGTTTTCAGCGTCCTAAGAAATCTAGACATGATTTATATCGGGGAATATTCATGGATAGTAAGCAGAACTGCACCAGTTTTGGTTAAGGCTTGGAGCACCCCCAAATTTTGATATCTTCATGGGGTGCTGGAACCCACCACTGGGGATACTGAGGCACGACTGTCCTTCATTGAGGGACCCTGATATGAGTAGGAGCCAGAGAATAACAGCAGGAAGCCCTGGACCTTGTGAGGCTGCTTCCCTGTCAGACCTCCATAGTGTCCTCCCGGGGGGGGGGGGGCGTCTTTCATCTTTAGGTTCCTCTCCTGACCAGCAGAGAAGGTCACTCAAATTCCCTCCAGGCCCCTTCAGACTCTGCTCTCCTGCTTTTTGCTGGGACACCAGTGTTCTACCAGTGTCTGCTACTCACCCTACAGGAAATAAATGTCCCTTGGCAGGGCAATGTGCCCTAAAGAAGCAGCTTTGGTCTTCCCAACACTGCTACGCTGTGAAGGCCAAGTTTAACCAGGTTGGCAAAGACCCCTTAACACTCTGTGCTGAGAAATGCTAGGGGCAGTAGGGCTGGGACCTGTGTTCCAAGGCCCTTCCATGAAGGAACAGTCCCATTTGTTGTCTACACCAGAAAGGTGGCCAAGTGCCCAGGAGACTCTAGAACGTGAGTCAGATTTCATCTTGACAGCTCAGTGTAAAACTCCAGAGAAAGGACGGCCAACCATGGGGACCAAGGTCAAGGTCATCAAGTGGAATGTTTACCCCATCTGGCCCCCTCCTCCCCTGACTCACCTTGTCTGGTAGGACTACCACGCCCTGCCCAACACCTGGCTCATCTTCCTCCTGTGTGCCAGACGTCTCCCTACACAGGTCTCATCTTTCTTTGCTCCCAAGTTCCTTCTCTGAAGCATGATCCTAGCATTTCCCCACTGCTCTCCTCCTCAGCGGCGCTCTCGTTCCTCTGGGACAAATCTACCTGACCTTTGTGTTTGGCCAGCATTGAGGTTCCTCACATGGTCCTGTCCACATGCCACTGTCATTGCCCCCTTCTCTATTTGAGGAAACAGGAGCTTCCTTTGAAGGCTGAGCTTCACAGTGAAATTCTAGGGCATTCCATGGGACATTGGGGGGTATTGACAAAACCTCCAGAAGCTATATGGATGGGCCAGTTTAAGAGTCAGACTTTTCCATTTGGGAGGCTGAAGGCAAATCCTCATTTCACTCATTTCTACAGGGAGGAGTACGCAGGCTGGAGAGCACAGGATGATGAAAAGCTGTCTGCTGAAGAGATTGAATTTCTGGAAATGTTTCCCAAGTGGAAACAGCAGCAAGAAATGGTCATTGCAGAGCTCTATAAACTTGCACATGACGCTGACACAGCACATCAAAAATTCACCAAAGCCAATGTGACAGCCAACTGCTTCAGTGTAGCATCTGGGTTGGTGAGCGTAATGGGTTTAGCTCTGGCTCCAGTAACGGGAGGAGGAAGCCTGATCCTTACAGCTGCTGGCCAAGGTGTGGGGTTAACAGCTGGGATCATTAATATTGTGACAGATGTGTGGGAAAACTCTAGCACTGAAAACACCCGCACCCGGTTCAGCCACCTAGTGCCCTCTAGTGACGGAGCATTCCAAGAGGACATTGGAGGAGAGGGGGCAGCATCTTATGTCAGGGCTTCTGGAGAGGTCATATACAAGTGTGGGAGTGCTTTTGAGGTCATCAGGCAGAATGTCCGGGCCCTGAGGCTAGCTAATGCCTACCCACACCTGCTGCCTGCAGCCAAACAACTTCGAACCGTTGGCCAAGTGTCAGGTCCAGTCAGCAGACACGTGCACAAGGCCTTTAAGAACACAGCCTTGGCCATGTCACAAAAGGCTCTCCTGAAGAGCGGTGCTCTTGCTGCCGTTTCCCTTGGCTGGGATGCGTACAGTCTCTGGAAGAAACTTCAGGACAAAGAAGGCACAGAGCTTGCAAAAGAGCTAAGAAGGCAGGCTTCAGAGCTGAAGGAGGAGATTTCCCTAAACATGAAGGTTTACGAGGCACTGCAGGAAAAGGTAAACATGGGATTCTGGTCACGGGGTGGGTGTGATTTCACTGGGACCTGTGGGAGCCAAGGTGGACTGGAAGGAGCAGGGAAATTTTGTGTGTGTGTATGTGTGTGTGTGTGTGTGTGTGTGTGTGTGTGTGTGTGTGTTTTATAACACTTGCACGGCTAGGCTCTAGGATGAGGCTTGCTGAGGCTTTGGATACACCAATCATTTAGGACCCCTTGAGACTGACAGCTGCAGTCCTGGTCAGGCCTGGTGGCACTTTCTGTTTCTATCTTAAGGTTTCTAAAGGCCCACTTGCTGAGAAGTGGCACTTATTTACTTTAGAGAAGCCGTCACCCGGCCTGACTCAGAGTTCTGACCTGAATCATGGCCTGCTCAAATTCAGGAGTCAAAGCCCTAAGCTCCAGTGTGACTGTGCTCTGGAAAGTAATTAGGGTTTATCTAAGTCAGAAAAGTGGAGCCCTCAGCTGACAGGATCGATGTCCACTATCAGGAGGATCATGGCCCTACAAGGAGGAGAAACCATTCGAAGATGCAGTGGGAAGCAGCCATCAGGGGATCTGGAAGAAGAAAGCCCAGTCCCAAAATTGGTCTGGGCTTCTGGTCTCCAGAACTGTGAGAGAATGAACTTGTCTGGTGGCTACCACTCAAAGGCTTCTTTTTTGTTTATTTTTTGTTTGTTTGTTTGTTGTATGGCTGCACAAGTGGACTGGGACAGGGAGGTTATGTGACCAGCTAAGTGTCTTAGTCCATTTAGGTGGCCGTGATGAATTCCTTTACACAGAGTCATCTGTGCACAACAGACCTCAATTGCATATTGTTCTGGAGGCTGGAAATTCACAGTCAAGAGTCTAGCAGTGGCAGGTTCTGTGTGGGGAGGTTTCCTCTCTTCTTCACACAGACAGCCATGTTGTGAGGTCCTCACCTGCAGGAGGGGGAGATGAGCTTCCTGGGGACCCTCACAGAGGGGCAGTCACCCCACACCTAGAGATCCACCCTCATACCTGAGTCTCTCACAATGCCCTGAATCCTTACATCACCCCATCAAGAGTCAGTTTTTACCCAGGAATTTTGGGGCATCACAAGTTTTCAGACTTAGCACCGTGTTCTCTGAGCTAAGTCACGCTCGGCTCAGGATGGCCAACCCCAGCAGCCTGATAGCACAGCAGGCCTTCCCCCACCTGTGGGGGCGCACCTCAGGCTTTGGGGCTTTCCCCTGTGGATGGCTTTTTCTTCTTCTAAAGTTAACTAACATGTAACAATTGTATCGTGTTGATTTTTTCCTCCTCCAGAAATTGTTCAGAGAAGAAAGGCGTAAGAAGTCATCATCGAAAGGAACCAAGAAGGCTCAAGCTCAGCACCCATCCAGAAATGGGAAAGCAGGGTCCTCTGGGAGAGAAGGCAAGGGCCCTTTCCAGTAGTCTGTGTAATCGGTGCCTGGGGACACACTCTTTGGCGAAAGCACCACGGCTTCCAAGAGTCATGTCACCCACCTTCTGTAGAGTGAATGTCCACTTGTAGTCAGTTTTCACCCATACACAGCAGTCCTCACTAAGATCAGTGTGACACAGGACACATCCCTTATTTTATCTTTCTTTATTTTTGGGTACCAGGAATCGAACTCAGGACCTCATGCTTGCAAGGCAGGTGCTTACGCCACATTCCCCATATTCCTTATTTTAATTAGCATTCCAGAGACCAGACAGTTGCTGATGTGCTAGAACATTTTCCTCACTTTGGGGCCAACACGCTGCAGTGTGGAATGCTCCCATTTATCCGCGCATGTCCAGTTCAAAGCCAGATGTACGTTTTCTTGTCCCAGACTGAGGGAGCCAGGAATGAAAGGGTGAGAAACAGAGGAGGTGGCAGAGTCAGAGTGCAGGACGGAAAGTAGAAAACATTCCACAGGAAAAGTCAGGAAATATGGGATGAACCCACCGTGGAGAAGTACTCTGCCATAAAGGGTAGGAGAGCCATTTTTAGGAAAATGGATGATGCGCCTCAAGATCAAGCTTCAGTATTGCATGACGTCTTTTAATAAGACACCCAGAATATAAGTAAAGAGGAATTGAAAGAGGGAGCTGCATCTTTTGCCAATGGGAAGCAGGTCAAAGATGGGGTAAGGAAGAGGGGAATAAAAAGAATGAAGAGGTGTTAAATACACGGATTATGCCTTAAGATGGATGTAAACGGCACGCACTGCAAACATGTCCCAATAAAAACCAAAAAGAAAGGTGTGGAAAAGAGGTCTGGAGAGAGAGAGAGAATAAGGAGCAAAGAGAAAATGTGTGTGTATGTGTGTGTGTGTGTGTGTGTGTGTGTGTGTGTGTGTGTGTGTTGAGACAGAGGCTCACTATGTAGCCCAGGCTGGTCTCGAATTCAAAGCAATCATCCTGCGTCAGTCTCCCAGGTGCTGGGACTGCAGGCCTGCATCACCTCGCTCACGTTAGGAACACTGTGTTTTCTAATCCCTGTGAGGATCAGAGCAGAGTCTCATCTGCTTTATGATTGAAGCTGAGCTACAGCATAAACAGAACAGCTGACAGGGTGCCAACAACACCTCAGCATGTCCTGGTACGTGAGTGACACCAGCGTGGCACTGGGCAGAAGAAAAATCAGTGCTGTGAGGCAGGGTGACCAACCTGGGGGGCCGGAAGCGGAGCCAGAGCTGTAACGGTGCTTTGCTGTTGCCAGACAACTGCACGCTCCTAAAACAGGAGGGCAAACACTGCGGGGGTCGTGCCTTGGAAAAGTCAATGCTCAGTAGTCTGCTAATAATCAGCAGCAGGAGCTGGCAGTGATGGGGAGATGGTTACGGATGTCTTGGTTTTTGCAGTGCTTCGTGGAACCCAGGGCCTCAAACACTGCGCAAGCACTCTGTCCCTTGCTACACTCCCAGCCCTTGGGAGACAGTTGGTAAAAAGTCCACAGCGAGCTGGGCTCTGAAGGAGGCTGAGGCAGGAGGATGGCAAGTCTAAATTCCTTCTGAGGAACTGAGACCCTTTCCAAAAAGAGTGTCCTTGTCCTTGTCCTTGTCCATAGGTAGCTGGCCACCTAAGCTTTTCAGCCCTGAGCTCTGATAGGAATCTTGGGTGTACTACGTTGCCACCGTGGCAGAGGCACTGTCTACTCCCCTGATTCACAGAAATAACCATTCACAGAGGCACACTGAGACCTCGCATGTGTTTCCCCCAACTCTTGATCAGATGGGCCAGGTCGCCAGTCATGCCCCAAGAGTTACAATGCGGAAGACACATCAGCTGCGACTCCCTGCAGCCTCAGAGGTGCCCGGGGCCTGCCAGCAGGGCCTCAGGCTGGGTAGGGGGGATTCAAGGAAGCGCTTTGGTTTCTGCAGAGTTCCCAGACAACGCTGGTTTAGTTTGGGAACCAGAGTGAAGTGTCTCGCTCAGCAGCTCTTGGAGCAAGACGAGGGAGCCGGCCCATCTGATCAAAGCCGAAATGAAACCTTCACCAGATTTAGGGTGCTGGAGCCTCCTGCTGGAGGTGGTTTCTAGGTTCTTTCTGTCCTGAGCAAAGAATTGGTCAAGACAGGTGCAAATGGTAGCAAAGTTTTATTGAAGGAAGGAAATGAAACAGGCTCTGCTGAGTAAGTTTGGGCCAAGTAAAGTAGGAAGAGAAATACACCCTACAGGGCAAGGGTGGCCGCCGTGCAAAAGAGAACACGTGGCCAAAACTCAGAGTGTTCTGTCCTTTTTGAATCACCCATTTCTCGTGAGATAGGAGATTAGAATGTGGCAAAGATGGCTGGGGAATTAAGCTTGGGCTGTTAATCACAAGATCCCGGACACATCCTCAGCACAGTTCCCAAAGCCCTGGACAGGGACTTCTGAAAACTCAAACAGGTTTTCAATAGGGTGGGCTCAACCTGACCTCAGCCTAAGGCTTGGGATTCCAGCACTGCCACTGAAGATACAGGTGCAGAAGTTCCCATCAGTTTCCTCAAAATTTGGACAATATTTAAGTACAGAGAGGCCATAAGAAGCATGCTATCCTGATTTTCCTCATGGTAGCCTGTATTATACATTCCCACCCAAATGTAGGAGGATTCCTTTTTCCCCGAAGTCCCACCAGCACTTACTATTTTTCTCTTGATAATGGCCATCCTTTTGGGAGTAAGACAGAATCTCTGTGTTGTTTGGATTTGTATTTCTCTAATAGTCAAAGATAATGACCAAATTTGCATGCATTTTTTGGCCACTTCTTTTTTTTGAGCAGTGTCAGTTTCAGATGCTCATCTTCTGATGGGTCTTTTATTTTGGAGGGACTATTTTTTTCCATTCTTTTTTTCATTTTAAAGAGGGTAAAATTAAACACAACAAAACAGAACATAAGAAAGCAACGTAAGAGACATAAATTTCAAAGCAAGACAATCAGAGATCTTCACTATCTATCATATTGTCTCTTGTTTTTTTCCAAATCATTGTACTTATCTTCACATACAGAGTATTCACACGAAACAACATAGTATAGAACTGATCTGAACAAGATGAGGAAGGCGTTTTAGGGCTTCAAGACCAGACAATAGGAAAGTCAACAATGGCTAGCATAGTGTCTCTCATTCTCTTCAAAATAGCTGTCCATACCTTCATGTATGCTGAAATTAAACAAAACAAAATGGGCTATAATCACTCTGAGCAAAGAATAATAGTATTGCTAGATTTCACATCATGATGCTACGGAAACAGCACTGGGTACTGTAGTGTCTCTTTTTCTTTAAAGTAGCTGTTCATTTCATCATGAATTATATGATCAGGTCTCACAAATTGTTTATAGGTTCTACGCATGCATGAGTCTCCTCAGTCATTTCTATCCTTTCTGTATTAGAGGGGAAAACAAAACAAAGCAAGATAAAACAAAACTAATTCTTACAAAAACATGAAATGAAAAACTCATAAAACCACAATACAAGGTGATCTATAATGGTTACTGTGTTGTCTCTTGTTATCTTCAATAGAATTGTCTATATCCTCAGGCATAGGATAGCAGTATACTACATAGAATATAGCAGTACATAACAATATTAATAAAACCAAAACATTGTAGACAGTGTAAAACTTCAAAAGCAGGTAATAACCAAACCAGAGAGGGTATCCTAGTGAATCTTGTCATCTTCAGTGTAGTTGCCTATACTCTCAGACTTGATATTATCAATCATAACAGATCTGAACAAAAAATCTGTCAAGATAAAACAGCAATCTAACAAACCAAATTCAACTGAGATCAGTCATGATAAAACAGTATAAGTTATACAGGGCTTCAGATTAAGTTAATAGGAAATTAAAGATGATTACTGTGCTATATCCTGATATTTTGGGGATAGCTGTCTGTGCCCTCAGATTTAGTGCAAGTAGACAAACTGGGACGGAATAAATTCTATCTAAGCAGAGCAGTGTGAGTAATGTGGGTTTTAATTCCTGATACACTATTAACATATCTTGCCATATTTTTAAAGATTATTCCTCTCCTTGCACTCCCCCAGGGTGCAATGTTCATTTTTGGGGCTCACCAACACTATCTTTTAAATTGTGGGGGGCAACCTGCTATTTACCTAAGTGGTCCCGAACCTTCTCCCTCCTGGACTTGACCTCTAGTTGTATTCCTTTGTCTTTTTTTAAAAAAATTTTATTTAAAGAAAGACTAAACAAAACAGAAAATGGGTAGAAATAATACATTCTTTCAAAGAAAAAATAAACAGTAAGAAATCACTAGTTGATGATTACAGATTGTCCTCTTACAGTTTTTCAAGATACTAAAGTGGAGCATATAAAGTGGGAATTCAAACAGAGAGATTGCAACCAGTTCTGTTCAACTATCCAACAAAAACTTAGAAATATGGTTATCAATCCTATACACTTAAACATACATGCAGTTATCCATATCTTCATTTATGTTGAAATTGAACAAACCCAAGCAGGCTAATATCACTCCGAACAAAGAATAATACTATTGCTGGGTATCACATTATGACACTCCAGGATCAGCCCTGGGTACCTTAGTATCTCTTTCTCTTCAAAGTGTTTGTTAATTTCATCATGTGTCATAAGATCAGTTCTCATAAACTGTTTATAGGTTTTACACATGCATGAGTCTTAACATGTATTTCTATCCTTTCTATATTAGAGGGAGAAACACAACAAAGCAAGACAAAACAAAACATATTCCTATAAACACATGAAATGAAAAAGACATATAAGAGCATTGTACAAGGACTTCTACCATACTTCCTGTGTTGTTCTTGTTATCTTCAATAGAATTGGCTATATCATCAGACACAGTGTAATTGAATATATCAGTACATAACAGTATTAATAAAAACACAACTTTGTAGATAGTATAAAACTTCAAAAACAGGCAATAATCAAACCAGAATGTTTATCATAGTGAGTCTTGTCATCTTCAGTGTAATTGCCTATACTCTCAGACTTGATACTATCAATCATATCAGTTTTGAATAGAATCTGTCGATACCAAACAGCAATCAAACCAGATTTAACTAATATCAGTCATGATAAAACAGTATAAATCATACAGGGCTCAAGATTAAGTTAATAGGAAATTAAAGATGATTACTGTGCTATCTCCTGATGTTTTGGGGATAGCTGTCTATGCTCTCAAATCTAATGCAAGTAGACAAACTGGGACAGAATAAAATCTATCTAAGCAGAGTGGTGCAAGTAATATGAGTTTTAAATCTTAATACACTATTAACAATATCTTCTGCCATCTTTTTTAAGACTCTCCCTCCCTTTTCACTTCCCCAGGGTACACTGCATTTTTGGGTCTGACCAAGACCCTTGGTTTTAAATGGGAGGTGCCTGCTATTTACCTAAGTGGTTCCAAACCTTCTCTCTCCTGGACTTGATCTCTAGTTGTAGTCCTTTACCTGTTAAAGCCTGTCTTTCCAACCTATCCACAAATACTGGTCTAGTTGCCCCTATTACTCTCAAGTTCCCTGTCACATAGAGCATTGTTTTCTCATATTTGATTTTCAGTTCATGTACTCTTTTTCATGCTAATTATATTTCCTAAAAATAGCATCTCGGTGGATCCTACTTCCTGATCTACTCTATGTGTGGTTCTTTTTTTTTTTAAATTTAGTGTATCAAGGCCATCTATATTAGAGATTACAACCAACCTCCTCTGCCTCATTTCTGTTATGCTCTTTTATTGCCATCAGTGGTCTGCTTGTCTTCTTCATTCTGTTTTCTGCTCCATTCATTGAG